GCATTGTGCTCAGGGTCATTTTTGACTGTGTTCAGGGGACCATATGGTACCAGCTATTGAACCCTGATCTTCATGCAAAGCCTGAACCTAGCTTGTTGAGCTAACCTGAGAGAGAGAGAGAGAGAAAGAGAGAGAGAGAGAGAGAGAGGAGGAGAAAGAGGAGAGAGAGAGAGGAGAGAGAGAAGAGAGAGATAAAGAAATTTGATTTTGTTTGTTTCTGGACCATATCCAGTGGTGCTCAAGATCTACTCCCCATTTGGTGCCTAGGATCACTCCTGGCAATGCTGTGTGAACCCATCTGTAGGGCTGGGGATTGAACCCTGTCTCCTCCATAAAAAATATGTATTCTAGACTACTGAGCTGTCATCTCTCTGGCCCCTAAACTCTGTGTGTGTGTGTGTGTGTGTGTGTGTGTGTGTTTTAAAATCCACATTGGTAGTCTAAAAAATATATTTAGTTCATGAGAAAAAAACTCAAACATCTAATTTTACTATAGTTATTTGGTTTAGGTATTCTCAAAAAAATATTGAAAGCCAGGTACATAGATGAAAAATAACAGGGTTTTCATCACAGATGTGTTTTTACTCACTTTGGGGACTCAGTCTCTGAAGAGGTGTAGCATTAAAGATACGGTTATTGCATCATCTTCAGCTGAAAATCAGAAAGGTTTTTCCTGCAGAGTAAGACGGTCTTTCTTTTACCAAGAAACATTATTACTCTGAGAGTATTTTAAACCTATTTTTTCTACTTTGCTCAGAGAAATAAAGATAAAAGAGAGAGGTGGGACTGAGGATTTGATTAACAGCAAGATTAAGTTTCAGAAGGGCACGTGTGGACTAGGAAAGACGAGAAACAGAAGATTTCTAGAACTATCTTTTAAGGTAAATGATACAAATAGGTGATCCAGAGTGAAATGAAAAGGGTTATATGCATCTTATCAATGATCAGTGTCATCATAACCTCAAACCTCTGTCATATGAATACCAGTCTTTTTTTTTTTTTTTTTGCCTGTCATAGTGGCAAAGATTTTGGGTGGTGGGGTTAATATTAAATCAGTTATTTTAACATACCTAAAATGTTTTGATAAACCTCTATTAACTTTGCAGATTTGAAAAAATTCTAATATACAATATATAAGTTAATTAGGTAGTTTGTGTACGTGCCTGTAGGTAGAAGAGGAAGAGCTTCCTGGACCAGCTAGTCAATGAATGTCAGGGCAGAGGCTTAAATCTAATGGTTATCAGTTTGCCGCATGACTTCTCAAACTTTCTGTTTATTTTTTTCCCCTTTCTCTTTGTTGCTGCTGTTGTGATGATGAGGGGTTGTTGTACATGCTTGGTTGTTGCTGTGCTTCACATGTGCTCACTGGGGAATTTTCTGCATATCCTTTTTTTTTTTTTTTGCATGACCACAGTATTTGGGGCCACTCCTGGAGGTGCTTGGTCCAGGACCGTATGCAGTGCAGGGGATAGAGCAAAAAATCTCATCTGGCAAAATAGGATCCCACACTGGCCTATGTACAATGTATGAGCTCTGCATTGTTGAATGATCTCTCCGGCTCTTGCTACATGTCTGAACTGACTTCTTGCTGCAGTTTCTTGTCAGAAACTTTGTTTTGTTGCTGAAGAACATAAATCTGTACTCCTTGGTTCCTCTTATTTCTTTCCGAAAAATGTCTGATGAATATTATCTGTAGTCTGACAACTTCTCACTGCCCACCCATGGTTCGAGTCACCATTTTGTCTTCTCTGGATTGTTGTAAATGGCCTTGGTGCTTCCATTCTTGTTTTATTGTACAGCAACTAATGAGTCACTTGCTTCTCTGCTTATAGTCCTCCGGCAGTTACTGAAGAAAGCTGTGCCCCTTGAAAGGAGGAGGTGCATCTCAAAGTACCAAGAGGGCATGGATATGCAGGGAGGATGCCCAAGGTTACTTCTCACCTCACTCACAGGGTTGCTAAAGGGAGTTTCTTCCCTCTTCCAGGTGTTCACAGGTCCAGCCGCACCTGCTTCCTTGCTTTCCCTTGAAAAATCTAACAGATTCTGTGCTTTTGCCTCGGCCCCAAGTGGTCCTGTTCCAGCCATCTGTATGATTTATTCCCTTCTTCAGGCCTCTTAACTGCCTCTGTTGCCACCAAGCCATAAATTAGCTACACTTCCTTTTTGCACTCTATCCGCTTACCCTGGTTTCTTCCTCCCAACACTTACCACTCATTTTTTTATTGTCAGTTTCACTCCATTAGTGTTATAATGTGGTTTCGTTCCTCCCTGAATATCTGCCCAGCAGTTTGGTATTCAGTAACTGTTTGTTATCGAATGACTGGATGGATTTTCAATTTTTCCCTTTAGTGATTTCTTGTTCTGCCTAGGAAATATTCAAACCCACCCTCCCTCCCTCCCTCCCTCCCTCCCTCCCTCCCTCCCTCCCTCCCTCCCTTCCTCCCTCCTTCCCTCTCTCTCCCTCTTGGAGTCGGGGATTAAATCAGGGTCTCTCATATGCAAGCCATGTACTCTACTGCTGAACCACATACATCCCTGGTCTTCTCTTGTCCTTTGGGCAGGGAAAAGTAAGGCTGCTTTTCACTGACCTAATGTTTCTGCAGAGATAGTTGAGAGTTTCTTTCTCTTCTCACTGCTCAAGTTTCTGTATTTAATATTCTTTAACAGTCAAGAAAATAAGTAAATTTTCCAAGTAATTTTTTTTCTCCATTTTGGGACTAGTACTCTTATTTTAAATGTTATCATTTAGTGTAAATACTTAAAAATTTTAGCATTTATTGTTTTTGTTTTGTTTTGGGCCAGACTGGTGATGCTTAGGGGTAACTCCTGGCTCTGCACTCAGGAATCACTCCTAGTGGTGCTCAGGGGGACATACGGGAAGCGGGGGATTGAACACTGATTGGCTGCATGCAAGTTAGGCTTCCTACTTGCTGTATACTGCTTTTCCATCTCCTGTTCTTTTGAAATAAAGCATTTAATCCTTCAGCTAGTAGATTTTTATTCTAAAGTTTTTAAATGATGGTGCTTACTGATGCAGATGGAAATGTAAAGGAAATCTGGGGAAAGGTGCTTTTTTGCAGTGCTGGGGAGCAAACTCTGAACCTCATAAATGCAGATATTCTACCACTCCGCTGCTACATCCCTGGCCCTTGAGTTAGTGACTAGTTATTGCATCAGTTAGTTTAATTTGAACTGGACCCCAGACTGGACTACCAAGCGTTGAAGAGGTGGTGGGTCTGCCTTTTGCTTGAGGAACTTTGAGTTGAGTGTGGTTGGAAATGCCAACCATTTTGTCAATGTTGGCTGACGCTATCGGAAAAATGAATGGAGGGAAGCCCAGACCCAGGATGGTTCAGCCAGACCTGCTTGTGTTGGAGATCTTTACTGTAGGGAGGAGGTTGCTGGCTGAAGAAGCAGGTGAAGAACACTCCAATGCGATGGGGTAACTTGCGAAAAAGAGTATAGAGCACTACTGTTTACAGAAGCACAAGTCAGTTGCATAGTGTTGGTGTGTCAAGGATAATTAATACAGGCTCTGGTGGGGTGGTAGATAAGTCAAGTCCATGATAGTTATGTAAAGACCAGACCTGTATCATTTTAAAGTAGTGTGTACATATACTATTTTGGAGAATCCTAAAGCCCGTGGATTTGCTTGTGAGCAATTGTTTCAGTGTGGATGGGGCAGATGGTTTTTTCTTTTTCTTTTTTTGCTACTTCCTCTACCTAATGCAAGAAAAACACAGAGCCCTTCCTTCCTTCCCTCCCTTTCCCTTATCCCTCCTTCCTCCTTCTCTCTCCCTCCTTTTCTTCCTTTCTTTCTTGTTCTGTGCCACACTGGGCCATGTTCAGGACTTACTCTTGACTCTGTGCTCAGGGATGACTCTGGTCATCTGGGCTCGGCGGGGAGGGGGGGATGTGGGGTACCAGCCACGTGTAAGACATAGTATTGTCTTATAATACTGTACTATTGCTTGTACTAATACTGTACTCTTGCTTCAACCCTAACAAAGAATGTTTTCTGCCCTGAATTAGTAATCTCATGCAGATGATGATGATGATGATTAACAGTTGATGTTCTAGTGCTTCTGAGTTCGTCTTTACATTCCCTGTGCGAAGGGAGCATGTATGAATGTTCAGTTAATGTTTATTGAAGAAATCATCCTTTTCACTGAAAGCCTGTTAAGTCTGTTTTAGTGTTAAACAAAACCAAACCTGTAGCCTCTCTTCTTTGATCTCCTGTAGCCTGTCTTTCTGAGTTTTAGGCAAGGGAAAATACTCTCTCCTTTCCAGTAATACTTCCAAAGATATTCACTGCCTACTGATGTTTCCTTTCATCTGGCAAAAGCCCACAATCTTCTTATACTTTTCACTCTCTTCTGTTTTGGGAAGTTGTTTTTGCTGAATAGAGGCAGAGTTGGTTACTCTTTCCTCCACAAAGAATTGAAGCTTGTTCTGCTCCTAGGCGTGACTAGCACGATGAAGGCAGATCCTAACCCCCTATCCCTAATACTTTATTTAGTCTTCCCCGGCACTTTTGCTGGATTGGGTGGATGGTTTATAAATTATTGTAGAAAAGCATGTTGCAATGGGCAGAGGAACACTTGCAGGAGAAGTTGATCATTGTTCATTTTCTACATATCCTGGACGGTATCTTTGTCCAGGTATGTGGACAAGGGAGGGTATTCTGAGAAACCTTTTCTAAACGGATAGTCAGAAATTTTATTCTTGCTGCATGGGTTTTGGGGAGCTGGGCAATATGATTAAATCAGGGGCTCAGTATCAGGATCGAAGCTTGAGAGGAGGAGTAATTACAAACATTCTCCTTCCAACCCTTCCCTGGGGTCTGGGGAGCAATGCAGGAGGCTTCCTGAAAGGGAATCTTTCTAGTGGAAGCAACCAGAGAAGCGCTATTGCTGGCGAGCTTTCTTGCTGTTTGGTAGGACTGAAACTGACTTTATCCCATAGTCAGTGCTGATGAGCATTTATCATCTTCTTCGCAGAGACTGTCCCGCCATCATGGAGGAGGCTGCAGAAGAGAGCTTGAACCCCAGCTGTAAGATCATGACCTTCAGACCCTCCATGGAAGAGTTCCGGGATTTCAACAAATACCTTGCCTACATGGAGTCCAAAGGAGCTCATCGAGCAGGTCTTGCAAAGGTGATTATCCACCGTTTAAACCAGTGGTATTCCAAGGAGGACACAGGTGAAAATTGCATACATGGAGGGCCAGGGCCTAAGACCCAGGGGCCAACTGGGAGATTGGAGGTAGTTGGGGAAACACAGGAAGGAACCCCAGAGTTGGAAGGGGCCATGATTGGAGAGAGGTTGAGAAACAGTGCTTTATTATTTTAAAGATTTTTGGGGGTTTGCACCATGCCAGGCAGTGGTCAGGAATGACTCCTGGCAGTGCTCAGGGGACCAGGTGTGGTGCCAGGGATCAAATCTTGGTTGGCTAACTGCAGGGCAATTGCATTAACCCGTATAGTTTTACTCTGGCTCCATAAAACGCTGTGTAAAACCAAATTATCTATTTATTGTACTCTTAATCTTCATGGTGTGGGGAATTGCATCTTCTCAAAGAAGATAATGATAAAATCTCCCTCTCTCCCTCCCTCCCTCCCTCCTTCTCTCCTTCCCTCCCCTCCCCCCCAGGTGCGCCTAGGACTTAAGCTCACTCTTGGCTCTGTTCTCTGAGATCATGCTTCGCTGCAAAGCATTGTCCTATGCGCTATACTCTCTGGCCCCAGTTCTTGTTATTTTATGTGGAACATTTGATTTATTCAGGGAAAATTGACCATATTAGAAAGCATTTTTTGCTTTCTGTTTTGGGGACACATGTGTGGTGTTCAGAGGCTGCTCCTGGTTTAGTGTTTGAAGGTCACTCCTGGCAGTGAGCTGGTAAGGGATTGAATCCAGACCTCTGGCTCCTGCGTGCAAATCCTATCCTCCAGGGGCCGGAGTGGTGGTATAGTGGGTAGACACCTGCCTTGTACATGGCTTACCTGGGTTCCATTCCTGCTATCTCACATGGTCCCCCGAGCCCACCAGGAGTGATTCCTGAGCGCAGAGAAGGTGTAAGCCCTGAGCAATGCCAAGTGTGGCCCCCAAACCAAAAACAAAAGCAAAACAAAAAGCCTTTTCTTCTACGCCGTATCTCTGTATTCTACTGGTTTTGTCACATACAGTTGAAAGCATTGACAGGCTTAAGGTAGAGGAGAGGAAGACATGGTGGCTCTCCATTAATTTTGGAGTGCCCTACATGCCAGTTTTCAAGGTGACTCCTGGTTGTGCTCAGGGGACCCTTGGGGTGCTAAAGATCTAATTGGGGTGAACTGTATGCAAGGTGAGAGCTTTAAACCCTGTACTGTCCCTGGTCCCTATTTGTTATTTTGAAAAGCTCTCTTCCTGTGATCTCCAGCAGCTTCTATGTGTAGAATGAATTTCAGGTAGGGGAAGGTGGTGGCAGAGAATCCTGTCAGGGGTAGTTGTAGCAGGCGCAGGGTCAGAGGAAAGGGCAGGACCGTACGATCTTACTCCCAGAATGGGCTTCTCTCACTATCTGCAAATCAGAGAAGCTCTGTTTTTTCCCCCATGTAAATTAATGGCAATCGTGTTCCCTGACCCCCCAAATTGCTTGCCAAATCATACTAAACAGGAGCAGTGAGGACAGGCCTACATTATATCCTCTGGCCTTCACCTGAGATGGCTTTTGTAATGGGAACCCTTCTGAAAGAAAGAATTCTCACCAGGAGAGTTTAGTTTATGGCACTAACTGATTTTTTTTTTTTTGAATCATGTCCTAAATGTTAACTTTGTAATCTGAGCATCTGATGTGTCTGCATCAGAACATGGACTCAGGTCCTGGTGGTGCGCCCTGGTCTGGGGTGCTTCCCAGCTTCTCAGTGGGATACCCACATGCGAGGGAGTGTCCAAGAGCACTGAGAGCAGACAGTGCTCAGGAGAGTGCGCCAGCACCAGTGGGGCTGTGTCTTTCCAGTCTGCCTGTGCTGTGCAGGCCTGTGTCCCGCAGGGTTATCCTCATATGTGTGCTTGAAAGGGTCTCAAATCTGGGCGTATGAAGGTGAGAGGAGTCTTATTTGGGTAGACGATAAGCAGAAAAATGATCAAGAGTATGCCGAAAGGGCTGGAGAGATGGTACAGTGGGTAAGATGGTTGCCTTTCATGTGGCTTACTTGGGTTCCATTCCTGGCATCCATGTGTACCTCAACTGTTGGCAGAGGTGATCCCTGCACACAGAGCCAGGAATAATCACTGACTACTTCTGGGTAAGTCCAAAGACCAGAAGGGGGGTAGAGGAGGGCGAGAGAGGGACAGAGAGAGATAAGAGAAAGGGTGAGGGAGGGAGGGAGGGAGGAAGGAGGGAGGGAGGGAGGAAAGAGAGAGAGAAAGAGATATTGCCAAGAGAGAAGGAAGAGAGAGAGAGAGAGAGAGAGAGAGAGAGAGAGAGAGAGAGAGAGAATATGAAGGCTTTTCGTGAATTTCTCAGTTGAGCCGTCTTTAGTTTCGCCATTTGATTAGCTCTTAAAGCTCCCATTCTATCAGAACCTTGTTACTTACGAATTATTTCTGAGGCAAAAAATTGTTCCTTCATTGAACAGAATGCTATTTCACAATCATTTGACATAATTTTGAGCCTAGACTTGCAGAGGGTTATGAGGGATTTACACTGTGGGGGAGGGGCAGTCAGGGGTGATTGTCTCTTGCTTTGGGTTTTGAACACAGCCCTTTGTCCTGCGCTTCATCCCTTTCCGTTTCTTGAAAACATGTATTTTCCTGTGTTCCACTGAGATTAGTGAGTGTCCTGTGGCAGGGTGCGCGTTTAGTAACGTTAGAAGAGGAAGGAGCCGCTCCAGTCCCGCGGGCATTGCAGGCACAAAGCGCACACCTGGGCTGTGGCTGGCGTTAGGTAATAGGGAAATTAGTGAGAACTACAATTAGTTTTCTGAATGGGGAACGGAACACACCTGGGTCCAGAAGTTTTATTTTAAATGAGATTCATTGGCTAAGTTGGAGATACTCACTTATGCAATCCTGTAATAGTTTCCTATCACTTAAACTAAGAATACAGTTTACTGTTTGTTTTTTCTTTCTAACTATTAGTTCCACTGACTTTCTCTCTCTTTCTGCACCAACTCAAATCACATCATCGAATTCAAACTGCATTACAGTTTTTAGTCAGTGGGGGATTGTCCTGGGGGACAGAGCCACCTATATGTTCTTAGTGTACCATTTATGCAATCGGTTTTAATTGATGATTGAAAAAATGGTGAAGCAGGCCAAAATGACTTTGGCCTCAGTTTACCAAATTATCTATTTATTGTACTCTTAATCTTCAAAGTTTTTTCCTTTCTCTTCTTTTGTTTTCTTTCTTTTCTTATTTTATTTATTTGTTTTTTTTTTGAGTCACATGGCTTTGCTCAGGACTTCTCCCTGGGTCTGTACTCAGGGATCACTCCTGGCTGTGCTAGGGATTTTGGGGTGCTGGGAATTGAACCTGGGTCAGCCACATGCAAGACAAGTGCTTTACCTGCTTCACTCCTGCTTCACTTTCTTTCTTTCTTTCTTTCTTTCTTTCTTTCTTTCTTTCTTTCTTTCTTTCTTTCTCCCTCCCTCCCTCCCTCCCTCCCTCTTTCTTTCTTTCTTTCTTTCTTTCTTTCTTTCTTTCTTTCGCTTTTTGGGTCACACCTGGTGATGCACAGGGGTGTTACTCTTGGCTCGTTCACTCAGGAATACTCCTGGTGATGCTTTGGGGATCATATGCGATGCTGCGAATCAATCTCGGGTCGGCCACTTGCAAGGCAAACACCCTATCCACTGTGCTATTGCTCCAGCCCCTGATTTTTCCTTTTTATCATCATTTTTAGGTTTATAATTTTAATTAATGTTTTTTGGACCATACCCAGTGGTGCTCAGGGCTTCTTTATGGGTCTGCGCTCAGGGATCACTCCTGACAGGGTCGGGGCACTATATGGGTATGAGGCATTGAACCCAGATCAATTGTGTGCAAGGAAAGTGCCTTCCCTGCTGTACTGTTATTCTTTGATTAATGGCTTAAAAGGACAGATAGCTAGCTATGCCCACAAGGTGAAGTTCTTGATAGGTAGATGGTAGTGATAATAGCTTATGTCAAGATAAATGGTAAAATAAAAATGGTAAAATAAAAAACTTTGAGTTTTAGTAGACTCAAAGTTGAGACTTTGGAAATGCTAATATGAATACTGATTTTTAATAAAAATATAATATGTTTATTTTTTGGGTTGGGGAGATGGCTGAAATGGCTGTGCATCAGATACCTGACATCATGCTTGAGTTCTGTTCTTCATACTGCATGTCTGTCCACTCTCACTGGGTGTTGCCCTGGAAGGTGGCAGCACCATTAAGTTTAGCCAGAATGTATATTATGCAAATGTTTATTGTTGTTTTTATACAACCATGTAGATGAACTTGAGGAAGAATTAATTTCCTTCATTCAGAATTGATTAAATATAAAGATTCAGGCTGGAGATGTAACTTAGAATAGACTGACTCCCTCTATCCCTCCCTTACTTTCCCCCCTCCCTCCATCCTTCCTTCCTTGTACTCCTAGTGGTGCTCTGGGGACCATATGTGTTGCTGGCAAACGAACCTTGATCATTCAGAGCAAGTGACTTACCTGTGGTACTCTCTCTCGGGCCTAGAATGCATACCTCATATGTATGAGGTTCAGGGTTATATCTCCAAATTCTGCAACAGAAAAAAAGACAAAAATTACTTGGATTCTTGTATTACATTATAATAAAGAACTTAGTTTATCCAAATAAACATTCAGAAGGTTGGAGGGAGTTAGGGCTGAATTGAACTCAGTGATAGAGTTTTGTATGTGTTGAGGCTCTGGGTTTGCTTCCCAATCTGGAAAACAGATAAAGGATGGAAGACAAATTATATGGTACAAGAAGAAATTTGATACGTATGTACAAAACATAACCAAGAACAGTCAGAAAAGAATAAAGGACACAGATATTAACAAGAAACCCCCAGCAATGCAGTAGTTAAATGGTAAGAGACTTGAATAAGTACTTTACGAAAAGGATATCCAGAGGATCAGTGAATAAATGAAAAGATTTTATTATTTATCAGCAAGATGGAATTCAGATTTA